CCCACACGCAATTTGCTGCTGGCATCCATTTCTTTCCTGCGCGCCAGTTCGCACCTGTGTCGAGCCTGTCTGCTGTGAGAGAGAGTTGTTTTGTTTAAATTCTTTCCTGATTTTGTGTAAACTTCCGAAATTTCAACTTTTGGACAGTGCACATGCGTGTCGCGCACTCATTCATGACCGATCTCAATGTCCCATCCCCCTTCTAGGCCCGCGGGTAGTAGTCTCCCCCCATCCCCAGGGCCTCCAGGGCTCGAGCACCTCAACCTCTCATAGACCAGCGCACAGCGCCAGAGGACGTATTTTCTTCTCAATAACAAGGTCTGTGAACAGCGCCCAGCCAAAAAACAAATCCAGGCGCGCAAATCACGAATGGTGAGTGCTCACGGTGTGGCCGATGCGCTCGTTGTCTTCCGACGATTCGTGCTCTGAAGACGGCGACGAGAAGCAAGCTCCCGCACGCGGAGAGCCACGCACAGAGGTTCGGCGTCTGCACGCCCGCCGTGTCTACACCGCCGCGTCGTCGCCTCCGAATCACACGGGGGCGGCCCTGCGGTCAGTTGTGGAGAGTGTGCGCCGAGACTGCCAAATGGCGGATCTGGTCGTCGAGCGCTTCCAACGTGTGTCCGACGAGTACTGGCGGGATATCGACCGGGCAGGCGTCGGCGAAGACTCCTACGATCTGTGCGTGGAGTACCTCTCTCGCTTCCAAGAGGCGCTGAAGGAGCTGGGGATGGTCGGCATCGAGGACCCTCCCGCAGCGGCCGGCTTTGCGGACTGCACGATCCTCGCCGAGGTCAGCGCGGCGCGCCGCAGTCTCGCTCAAGCGACAGGCAGGTGTCGCGCCGCCGTCAGCCGCATCGCAGAGACCCTCGCCCGCGCCCATGCGGACGACGAGGATGGCACGCGGGACGGCGCCCAGACCGGTGCACTTGGCGTGGCTGGCGGCGCTGATTGCGCTGGCGGCGCTGGCGGCGCTGGCGCAAGCAGCGCTCGCGGCGCGTCGCCCGTGCTGCAACTCGCGGCCCTGCTGGAGGGGGCGACGATGGGCGAGATGCAGATCGACCCCCCCGCCGCGGGCGGCACGGTTCTGCCGCCTGAGATGGCGCTCGACTGAGGAGCATGAGATGTGTGATGCGTCGCGGGCGATCGAGTACTGCCCTGGTACTGCCCGTATAATGGCGCCAGGCTTCACGCGCGCGTCACACTCCTCACACGGCACACACGCGCGCGGCGCGGGGCGGGCGCGGCTTGCTAGATGCTACTAAAAACTGGCATCTACTCAGCCACAATCAGAGGCGAGTCATCGCCTATCGATTCGTCACGCATAGAAGATATATAGACACGAGAGCCCATTGAAGAGCAAAATTTCAAAATGCATGCAATGAGCGCATCACATATCACAGTGAGTTCAACTCCCGTCTCCCGTCTCCGGACTCCGCCCCGCCGTGCTACACTTGCTAGATCACCTCCGCGGCGGAGCGGACACTACACTACTTGCGTGCGAGCTGTACTCGCTCTACACCCACGCACATCGCCGCATCGACCGACTCAGAAAAGCCCTTCCAAAACAGCCCCGTGTTCTCGCGGATTATCGACGGGAACTGTTTGCGGTCCTGGTAGAACGAGCCGCGCATGGTTGCGTCGCCCGGACTCGACAGCCCTGGGTCGGTCAGCAAGCACCCGCCCAGCTGCGAGCAGACAGCCTGCAGCCGCCTGTCTACGGGCGTGCTGCCCGACCTATTCACACCGGGCACAGCGAGGGGCTTGAAACGCCGCCGCCCCACACTGCCGCCGGCCAACTAGCAACTTGGCGCGGGGCTATACTCCCCGCGCGCATGCCAAAGCAGCGAGGCTGAAACCTCGCGGCAATCTCGACTCACCTCGGCTCACCTCGGCTCACATCTCAGCTCATCTCAGCTCACTTCTCAGCTCACATTCTCGGCTCCTCTCTCTGGCGCGCGCACCACCCCCCAAAACTGCGAGTCGCCCTCAGCAGCTGCTTTGCCATCGCCGGCCGCACCTGTTCACAGCGACGCGGCGTGAAGAGACGCCGTTCACGGGGGAAGGGGGGGGGGGGCGCTTAACGCCTGACGGACGGTCTCACGTGAAGGACGGCCGGCGCTTGCCCGAGCGCCTCTCCTCCGCCACCGCAACACGCACCGCAAAGGCGTGCGTCGCGAAGCCGCTGTACCTGGCGGCCACGGGGGGGGGAGGGGGGGGGGGAATGGTTAGCCAGGCATGGAATGGTGCGTTGACATGGCGCGGCCGCAGCTAATCTCGGCTGATCTCGCGGCCGCCTGCAGTAGTCTCCCCCACGCCCGCCGCCCGCGCCGCCGCCCGCGCCGCCGCCCGCGCCGCTCCCGCCGGGCCGGACGAGGCGGGGTGCGGTGCCCTTCCTCCTCGTCAGATCTGACGGCCGGGCCGTCGAGGCAGTGGCTTCCCCCCGCTCGGCCCTGGGCTCGGCCTCGGGGCAGGCGAGCGGGCGGAGGGAGGCGTTGCTACCCGCCGCGAGACTGCTGCAGCGTCGTTGACTGGGGCAGGAGGGGGGGGGGGGGGTGCTTCCCAGTGTGTGTGTGTGTGGGGGGGGTGCTTCCGAGTGGGGGGGGGGGGGGTGCTTCCCAATTCCCCAATGTTTTGTGAAGGGGTTTGGGGGGGGTTTTAATAATGGGGGGGGGGGGGGTATAATCCGGGGCCAAGCCCTTCCGAATGTGGGGCGCCTTCTTCCCCGTCGCGGGCCGTGGTGTCCCGCCCCGCGCTGCAACAGCGGCAGTGGCGGCGCAACGACAGACCTCACGGGGGAACCCCCCGCCGCTTCCGCGCAAAACGGGTCGATCATCCCCAGGTAAAAAAAAGGCAGGTTGAGCTGCGCGGGTGCGTCACTCCTCAGCCACGGGCGCTGCTAGTCACTAGCGAGTCATGTGCGTGAGGCAGACTGAGCCGCGCCATGTCCCATGCATGTCCGCAGCGAGGGTGAGAGACGTGAGAGCCGACGCGGTCGCCCCACTCCACACCACCACGAGATGTGTGGGAACGATCCCGCGCTCCGTCACTCCTCCTCGCACCGTCCACATGCTTGGTCCATGCGCCACACCCCAGCCACTCTCGACCAGTCTGGGGCCAATCTCGCCCAATCTCGCGGCGCCTGCACGGTCCGCGAGGCAGCCTCCTCGATCGCACGCCGCAGCTTGCCTACACCCGACGAGTGTGGACCGACGGGTGAATGATGATGCATGGGCCGTCGACTCGCTCGCTCGCGCCGCAGCTTGCCTCTTGCCCGCGGGTGCACCACCACGTCGTCCTGTTCACAGCCCACGCACGCCGCGTGAAGAGACGCCGTTCACAGCGCCCCGGCCGCACACCGCAGCACAACGCGTTCCCCCAGGACATGTACAGAGGACGTGTCAGGGACGTGTCAGGGACGTGACAGTGTCATGCGCGTGGGCGATCTGGCACGCAAGCCCCCCCCCCCCCCACCCCCCCCCACCCCCCACCATCACCACCACGTCTTCACACCTCGAAGATGAAGACGAAGGGGTCGGGCATGCGCGAGATCTTGTCGTACACGGCCTGTGGCAGTGTCGTGATGAACGCGTCAATCCTTTTCATGCGGGCCCCCGGCTTGTGGCGAAACTCTACACGTGTGGCCGGCTGCGCCTCCATCGCCCGCACGAGCGATCGGATGCGGCACGACTTCAGGTCGAGCAGAGGCGGCGGGGCCTACACCCACTCCTCGCCACTCCTTCAGCGCTGTGTGCTCTCTCTCGCCTTCAGTTCTGAGTTCAGTTCTGAGGGCGCGTCCCGGAGTCGATAGTGCATTGTGTGTATTGATCAGGGTGTGTGCTCTCGGCTTCTGCGGGTGTCGGTGCGGGGCGCGGAGGAGGGCAGGCGCGGACGCGGCTGCAGGAGGTGCTACTAAGGGCGCTGAGGCGCGACTGTGACGGAGTGAGTGTGTGCAGGTGTGCGGAGTAAGCGGTGTGCGGAGTGAGTGCGGGTGGTGTAGTGAGTGAGTGCGCGGGTGGTGTGCGAGTGAGAGTCGTGCCCGCTGCAGCTGCACGTCCCCAAACGAGAGGTTGCGCAGCAGCGCGCGCGTACTGAGCGCGCGCGGCGACGAGTCGTTGGTGGTAATGACGAAGGCGCTGAGCGTCCGCCCGAGCACCGCCGGCGCGCCGCCGCTGCCGCCGTCGCTCGGCGGCGAGCGAGCAAAGGCCTCTGTGAGCGGCTCCTCGTTGGCTCCGCTCATCAGCGCGAGCATGACGACCATCAGCGTGAAGAGAAGGACGCGGACCGCGCCCCACACCGTGGCTCCGGCCCCTGGCGTCCCGTCCACTGCGCGGGCGGCCGCTCTGGCGAAGAGCGGCTGCCCGCCTGGCTCTGGCACCCCATCGTCGTCGCTGTGCCCGAGGCTCGCGTACGAGTGACTGCGACCGCTGAGCCGGTCGACCTCGGCTTCGGAGTCCAATGCGAGCGCGCGAGGCTGGATCATGTGCAGCTCAGCCGAGGTTTCTACTCTCGAGGTGCACTGCGTCTTCTGCTCTTCCTCGGTGGTGCGGTGTCCTCGCGGCCGCACCTGCCCATCGCACGGTGGGTGAGCCAGTGTGCGCGTGGGAACCGTGGGCTGGTGGAGTGAGGACCGCGTGTCGTCGAGCTGCGCGAGCTCAACACAGTTGTTAGGGAGCAACGCCGTTCACGGCGGCGTGCGTGTTTTCTTCATTCTGAATTCTTTTGCGGTTAGTGTGCGGCGGCGGGCAGCGCGAGGCGGCGGCGCGGCGAGGCAGCGGGCGGCGCAGGGCGGGGCGGCGCGGCGGCGGGTGGGGTAATTAATTATTTGTTAATTCATTATTACTTAAATAATCATCGGGCGGCGGCGCGGCGCGGCGGCGGGCGGGGCGGAGCGGGGCGGCGAGACCATCTGCAGTTACCGGGCCTCTGGTCATTGGAGAGCAGCAATGGTCGCGCCGCCCTCGACTCACGGGGCTGCCTTCCAGCCGTCGCTGCTCAGGCCGGGGGAGGGGGGGAGACCTCCTGTTCCTCGCGGAACGGGAGCAGGCCCCTCCTTGCCCGGTCTGCGAAGCAGGGCGGTGGTCGTGCCATCTTGGCTTCACAACGAGCACGCCGCAACCGTCGCCGGCGCGCGACACGTTCCCGTCAGCAGGACTGTCCTGGTCGAGAGTGTGTGCCGCCAAGGCGGGACCACTCGGGGACAGTGCCGACGGGACGCGGCTCGAAGGGCGTGGCTCCGCAGCACGACTGGCACTCGTCGCAGAGGCCTCGCATTCGACAAGTCGGGAACGGCTCTACCCGCAACTTTCTCGCTAACACGCGCGCACCGCCGAGCCTGGGGCGGGCGCGCTGCGGCCGCACGTCTAACTTCGTCATAGTGCCACGACGTGCGGCCTAGATTTAGCCCACGCGCCTCTGCTCGCAAACACTCACCCATTTGATTGTCACTGTCCGTGAGTGCGAGATTAGGGCTAGCTGCAGGCAGCTAGCCCATGAGGAGAGCGTCCATAGACACCTCACTTAGACCCCACACACGGTCTCGTCCGTGCCTCGCCGGCCGGTGAGATTGCTAGAGGTGGAGCGAGCTGCTCTAGCCTCACATGTCACTTCCTGCCGTCTGTTGTTTGTTGTGCCCTTGTTTGTTTCTCTTGGCACCTTGGAGTGCTGGGGGGGGCGACAGGGAGGATGTGGCCTTGAGTTATGTGTACGCCAACTCAGGGTGTGTGGCAGCCAGCTGGCTGTGTGTCTTGTGAGCTTGTTTGTGTCTGTGTGTCGCTCGTGCGTGTCGTCATCATCTGTCTAGCGTCCACCCATAACGCGTTGGTGTCCAGTCCGAGCCTGGCTGTTCTTCACCTTACTACCTACCTACCTACCTAGTGAGTGTCCTTATACCGCTCTGATGTCCATCGAAGTTTTCTTTTTTCGAGTTTTCCTCCTCCTTCTTTTGCTATGATGTAACATACTTCCGGGCCGGTGTGCGGGGAGCGAACCTTAACGACCGCCCAGAAGCTTTCTGAGCGAACCAATCGGGCCAGGATCATCAGCATATGTCCCCTCCACAGCATCGTGGGCGTTTGAGCGGTATTTGAGGAGCACCGCGACTCTGAAGTTCGGCCGGGTGGTCTGCAGACCCCCCCCCCCGGAGCAGCAGAGGCTCCGTGGGGTCGAAAAGTCGACGCTGGGAGTCGCACTCGTCAAACCGTCGCAACACCACGCGGTACGCACGTACCGCCCACATCCCCTCCACCGCTGAGAAGGCGCAGATCGACCGCCGGGCCGCGTAGCCGTCGTTAAGGAGCCGTTTTTGGAGCCGTACGAAGAGGTCCCAGACGGGCGAAGATGCGGTTTTTCGACAACCACACGCGATGTGGTATCTGGTTTTTGCTAAAAACGGGCCGCCTAGTGCAGCATCACTAGTACAACACGCAACCACACTGAAAGCTCCACACTAGCCGGTATAGGCGAGAACCGACGGCGTCACGGTCGCCGGAGTGGACGCACTGCACACACACTGTGACCGTGTCGACGGTGTGACAGTGAGCTGACACAATCGTCGGCGCCGCGCTATCGCGGCGCCCCGCAGTCAACACGCCTCAGGCACACCCCTGAACGCGCCATGGGCGCGCAGATACACCGCAGCGCCGTGGAGAATCCACACCTGGCCGGTCCCAAGCCCCGTCCTGGGCCTCCAGGCGGCCGAAGATCGGCCTTCGGGCGGGATGAACTTGTCGGAAATGGAGCAAACTTGGCGCGGCTCGCCGCTCGCGGTACCGGGTGAGCCTGGATAGGGCAAAATCTGGGGTGAATACGAGGGACAGAGGTCGCAAGTTTGTCGCGCAAGTTTGCGCGGCGTGGCGCTGCCCCGCTGCCGAGGGCGCCACCAACCCGTGGCGGCGGCATTTCCAGCCCAAATTGGGCGTTCCGTGTGCCTTGCCGGCGAGAGTGGACGGGCTGTGCATCGTGGGGGGGGGTGACTGAGAGAGAGGTGGTCGTGTGCCTACTTTGTCGGCCGCGCGCGAGGAGAATACTGGGTGTGAGGCGCGCAGGAGGCGAGGGTGGGCGCGCCGGCGGTCGAGCCACCGAAGAATTCGACGTGGCGCAGCTCCGCGCCGGCGGGGACGACCGAGCACATGATGTCGGCGGCGGTCACGCGACGAGGGAGAGCCGCAGGAGCCCTCTGAGAGCCAGGCGCGCGAAAGCAGCGATGAGTGGCGCTTCGATCAGCCACCTGTGGGCGGCCACCGGGGAGACGGTCAAGCGCTGCCAGGGTTGGATCCGGTGCGTCTCGTATCACTGGTGGGCAAGGTCTGCAGCAGCAGCGCTCAAAAAGAGGGAAAAAAAGCGACAACTGTTCTGACTGTCAGCTTTCTCGACGCACCGTGCTCGGCCTCGCTGAAAAGCTGGCTGGTGGTCGCGCGCAGCGCGTCAGCGCGGGTCCAACTGGTTCGGCACCTCGGCTGGGTCCATCGGCAAGAGGCCCGCGCCGTCGGGCGGCCCCGGGAGCGCATGGGCGGCCGGCGCTGAGCGGAGGAATGCGGGCTGAGATCGCAGCTCTGCCACGAAAAACACAAGGAGATATTTTTAGCAAAAACACAAACAGTACCCAATCAAGTACTTATACAACGTACTACGCAAACCGTCTCGAGGGCGCTTGAGAGTTGAGGCAGGGGAGGAGGCGGGTGAGGCGGGCGGGAGGCGACGAGGAGAGGAGGCGAGGAGGCAAGGAGGCGAGGAGAGCGAGGAGAACGGGCGAGGGGCAAGGGGCGAGGGGAGTGAGGAGGGGAGGTGGTGGTGGAGAGGTCTCACGCCGCCCACGCCGCCGTGCCGTACCGGCCCAGCAGCGGGTGCTGGATGCTCCAGTGCCGCCAGACATGGAAGTGCGCCACCATCATGCCGCCGAGCCGTGGGAGCTGCAGGCCAATGTGCGCGTCTGGCACCACCGGCATCGCCGCAAACTTGTCCCGCCCCATGAGCGTCGCCAGCAGCCCGTTCGCCTCGGCACGCTGCTCCTCCGAGAGGCTGCAGTAGGCGCAACCCCACATCTCCACCACCACCTCGTGCAGCAAGCCGCTGTTGGTGTGGTCTCCCGCGCCATCTTCGTTTAGGTAGGTTCCGTTGTGCCGCTCCGCCTCGAAGCCGCCCTTGTGCTGGCCGCGCGCGATGAAGCCCTCGAGGTCGCCGTCCGCCGGGGCGCCGTCCGCCGCGGTGTGCCGCGCCCCGCAGAGGCGGATGTGGCAGATGCCAGCGACGAAGCCCGAAACGGAGTCGCCGATGCCGGTGCAGCCGCTCCTCCCCAGCAGCGGGCCGGTGAACGAGCATGCGGCCGCGAGGCTTTTCCACGAGGTTTTGTCCAGCGTGAAATCGCAGCCCCGGCCGCCCAGCAGGACGCCGTCGTCGTAGCGCATGATGCCGGTCGCGTCGACCCCGGTGATGAGCTCGAGGTGCGTGCGCGAGTTCCCGGCGACGATCTCGGCGAAGCCGTCAACGTGCTCGCACGCCCACTCGTACTCGGCGGGACCCAGCGGCGCGCTCCGGAAGCTCGGCGTCAGCGGGAAGGTGACGAGCGGGTTGCCGGGCGTGTCCTGCGGGTTGCAGCCCGGCAACGCGGGCACGAGAATGTCGAGCTGCGCCACCGACGCGTCGAGTGGGTCGACCTTTGGCGGGAGGAGCTGCGCGCCGTGCCGACTCGCCGCCACGACTCCCGCGACGTACCGCGCTGGCGTGTCCTGCCCCGCCACGGCGCCCACGTCGAGGATCCCGCCCGACCGTCCGCCCCGGTTCGTGTGTTCAAAGGCCTCGCTCTGCGCGCTGTGCGGGTCCGCCAGCACCCGCTGGCACTGGCTGCAGAGGCTGCCAGGGCCAATGGCGCGGCCTATAATGGCATCCACGCGCGGCCGCTCAGGCTCTGCCGGCCGGCCGAGGTGGCCGATCGCCGACGGCGGCCCTTGATGCAGCAGGCGCACGAGTCGTGGTGCACTCCTCCGGGAGGCGCCGCCGCCCCCGCCGCCGCGCGGACCGACCTGCGCTTGGCCCTGGCCGCCTTCTGAGCCTCCGTGTGGCGCAGGGCGAGGATGTGCGCGGCGAGAAAGGTGCGGTTCTTGTCGATGGTGTCGATGGCGTTGCCGTCGGCGGTGAGGGCGGCGAGCGGGAGGCTGTTGCTGTTGCGAAGCACGCGCGCGAGCGGGCCCGTGTTCTTGGCCACCACCGCCGCGCGCGTCTTGTCGGTCGTGTCGGAGGCAGGCGCCGTCGGCAACGCCGGCAGCTTGCCCTGCTTCCAAAGCGGGCGATTTGCATTGCGCTCCTCCCTGACGATGCTCGTCCAGTCCCTCCCGGTGGTGACGGCGAGAAGCGTGATGGCGCCAGGCACGTCGCGGACGGGCCCCACCACGAAGGCGCCGCCCCGGTCGAGCGCGACGCTCACCTCGGGGCCGTAGACGTGGCCCGAGAGCTTCGTCGTCGTCGTCTTGCTGACGATCGCCGACCTGCCGCCATGCAGCAGTATGACGTGGATGCGGGCACCGCCGGCAACCACCACGCACTCCCCCCCGATCCACAGGCGGCGCTCGTAGGTCTCGATGGGCACCCCCACGCGGTGAAGCACTTCCTGCTCGCTCAGAGGCAGCAGCTGTAGCCGCTCCATCATCAGGCGCGCCCTGTTCCGTTGAAAGGTCTCGGCGCACGACTTGAGCAGGTCGATGCAGCTGCAGGTGAGGCAGAGGCCCCACGTCGGCGTGCGCCCGCGCATGTGAGCCTGCAGCGCCTGCTGCAGCCGCCAGCCGCACGCGCCCTGCGCAAAGAGGTGGTCGAAGCTGCCTCGCGCGCTGGGCGGATTCAGCAGCGCCTTCACCACGCGGGCCGCGTAGTCGGCGGACCACTCGAGCGAGCACCGTGTGCACGAGATGCAGGGCGTCGCATCGTGCCGCAGCTTGCTCATGCCGGGCGGAAACGCGCCCCCATCCACCATCCCGAGCGTGATGTCGACCAGGTCACCACCGCCTCTGCTCACCGCCACGACGCGCTTGATCAGGTCGTCACCGCTGTTGATGGGCTCGCTGGCCGGGCGCACGCCAAGGAGCTCGCTCAGGCCGTTGGCGGCAGCAGCGCACTCCGCCGCCTCGGCGGCGTTCTCGGGCGGAGGGGGAGGCATCGGGTCCGAGCTGGGCTTGAGCCGCCTCGCGGACTTGGTGCTGGTGCCGCCACGGGCAGCCCGCGCCTGCGCCGAATCGTATTCGCGGTTGCGCTTCCGCACCGTGTTCTTTTCGCTCCAAATATTGTGCTCGGTCGCGTGGTGCGCGCGTGCCTCCTCGTACGCCGCAAGCTGCCTGGGGCCTTTATTGGCCGGAGGCTTCGGCGGCGGGCTTGACCCGACCTCCTCCAGTTTGGCGCCATCGAACCACTCGCACCACTCCTCAAGTCGCGCGTACCAGTCGCCGAGCCTCTTCGAGTAGGTGGCTTTGCCTGTCGTTGGCAGTGCGGACCACACGGGCCGAGAGAAGGACCGCGGCGCCACCTCGGCCATGATTCGAGTGGACTCACTGCTGCCAGCCGCCTCGATGTCAGCCGCGTCAGCCGCCTCGACGTCAGCCGCCTCGGCCATCGCCGCTCCCGAGCCAGCCGCGCTTGTGACCGCCTCGCTCGTCGATGAAAGCAAGCTCTGGACCTGCGTACCGCCCGCATCGCCTCCCGTTGATGGCGCCGCCTCTGTCGCTGCCTCCAGCTTGACCGCCGGCGGCGCAATGTCGACGCCACTGCTCACGTCCAGCGGAGCGTCAGCGCCACCCGGCTCCTCTTGCGCCGCGAGATCCACTTGCTCTGCGACCCCCGAGCTCCCCGCCTGCTGGCTCTGGCGCACCCACCACGGCCTGACTGCATCTGGGTTTGCCAGCTGCTCGATACAGGTTCTGATCTGGCCCAGCATCACCCACAGCTCATGCCACTCCTCGTTGGCGATCGCAGTCGCCAGCTCGCGCCTCAGCAGCTCTTGCGCCAGCTCGCTGCCATAGCACGCTCCAAAGAACAGCGGAGGCACGTCGGGTACCTCCGCATCCGCAGCCAGCGCCGCGCTCTCCCTGCTCTCTGCACTCGCGCTGCCGCGGCTCGGCAGCAGCAGCCGCTGCCACTCCTCCCGCAGCTCACGCACAGAAATGGGTGCTGCACCCCTGTCCTTTCGCACCTTGGCGTAGGCGGCGGCTTCGTGCTCGCGCTTGACGCACTTGGAGCTGGCGGCCTCGACCGTCCCACCCACGGGTAGGCTTTTGGGGATGGCGAGCCCGCCGTTGTTGAGGCGCGCGGCAGTCGTGCGGCGAGTCATATGAGACGCGATGGTTGCGACCGTCGTGATTCTCCCGGTTGCACCGAAACGCGCCCCAGCTGGGGTTAGGGGCTGTTGCACGTCAGGGTTGTTTTTGTGTAGGTAGTTGTTTAAAAGAATTTTACAACAAAACTCCCTCGCACGACACTGGGCACGGGACTGTTTTACAACCAAGCTCCCTCGCACTACAACATAATTAATTCTGTACTCCAAGTGCTCCAACACCCCGACTGGTGGTGAGACGAGCCGACGTGGCGAGGATGTCCCTTTCGCACATGTTCGAGCTTCGACGACTCCGACGCCGCCCATATCTGCTACGCCGGATCGTTCAGCCATGTATCGATCTTCTGCAGTTTGCGGCCAAGGTCCGTGTCGAGCTTGCCAAGCTGTCGCACTATGTCGATGGCGGTCTCGACGACGTTGACGTGACGCAGATAATGAAACCGACTTAATCCCAGGTTGTCGTCCTGGCTTGATGGCGACAGGCCGTGATACGACAGTGCATGCGCGATGAGGGAATCTGCTAGCCTGTATGCCTCGTCGTCCTCGTCGTCCGTGTCGTTATCGTCGTCCTCGTAGTCCTCCTCGTCGATTCGCTTCGCTTCCGCCTCGTCTGCTTCGTCCTCCGAGGATTCAGGACTAAGCTGCAGACGCCTTGCCGTACACCTGTCGCACTCACAGGCGCCATGCAGCATTCCACCATGCCACTCGTCGTGCATGTCATCCTCGTCAAGTTCCTCCACCCAATCGGGATCTTCCTGCTCTTCCTGCTCTCTTATTACTCGATCCATTTCGTCATCTGAAAGCGCGTGAGCGGCTTCCAACGTCTCGTCGACCTGAGCGATCTCTTCCTGGAGCTTCACAATCTGAGCCGCGAGAGACCGTTTGCGTTCCTTCAGGCCCGACTTACTCACGACCTGCAGCGAGAAATGCGACTCGTGCGGCTGCCCGATAGGTCCCAGTGACCGCAAGATTCTTTGATAATCGGTGTCCTTCTCCTCCTCGTCATCATCGTCGTCGTCGTCGTCGCCGCCGCCCACTTGGAGATCCGCCTCGTCGACCCCCCGCTTGTGGCCACCAGACGAGCTGGGACCAGGTGAGTGTTGCTCGATCTTGACAACGGCGGGCGGGGTTGCGTCGGCGGTGAGTGGATTGTCCACGCCACCGGGTTCGTCGTCTCGCGTGGAATCCACCTGCTCACCCGGCGCAGGCAGAGAGGGCACGCTCGCAGCATCGAGCGGATTATCAGCCCCGCCTGGCTCAGAGCGAACCGCCAGGTCGATATGCTCTGACACTCCGGAGCTCGAGGCGCCAGCGCTGGGGCAGGCACCCACCCACCACGGCAGCTCCGCGCCGGTGCCAAAGCCGGCGAGTTGGGTCAGCGCGACATCAATCTGCCCCAGCAGTACCCACATCTCCTGCCAATCGCGCCGCTTAACCGCCTCGCCAAGCGTGGTGGAGAGCAGCTCCTGGGCGGCCTCCTTTGCGCAACACACGTCAAGGTACATTGGCGGCTTGTCCAAAATACCGCCAGACTGTCTCGGGAGAAGCAGCCTTTCCCACGCCTCGCGGAGCTCCGGCGCATCGATCATGCCCGCGCCTCGCTCCTTTCGCACTGCAGCGTAAGGGCCGGTCTCGTGCTCTCGCTTGAAGATCTTGCGGCTCTCAAGTTCGAGCGTCTCTGCTCTGAGCAGCTCCGCTGGAATCTTAAGCGCGTCGCCTCGCGCGAAGGCTGGGACCTGCAGCGCTGGATCGCTGCGCAGCGTGCGGCCGTACATTATAGAGCGTCGCGGAGAACGAAGTCGCCGAGTTGCGTCGGGTTGAGAGAGAGAATATTTATTCTAGTCGTGTCCGCTCCGAACGTGTGTATGCACAACAGTCATGGCGCTGTCCTCTCAGGAGACGCCATGAGTGGGTAGAGAGGAGCAACCGCACGTGAGTGCCCTGTTCGAGTGCGCGAGATCTCCTGAGATCTCCCAAAGATTTCCGCTTCGGAATTCTTTCTCGAACAGCCACCCTTCCCGCACGGTGGTGCTCCCCTGGCCAGGTTCCGTGATGGTCCCTGGCTGTGACGAGGAAGGGGCAGGAACCCTCCCGACGCGACTCAAGGATCCGACCAAGCTGAGACCGCGAGGACGGCGTGTACATCCGTCACTACAATGGTCTCGCAAGGAAGTTCACATGAGATTTTCCCCTGCGCAATCATTGCTGCCCCACCTCACCACGTCATCCCATGCTCCCAACGCGAGCAGTGGCGGGCGGGCGGGCGCGAGCGGTGCCATGATACACGCGCGCACCATCGCGGTGCGCGCGATTCTGGAGAGTGAAACGTCTAACTTGCTGACGTCCTTCACAGTCCGTCTCCCAATTTATGCGGCCCAGCTCCGGCCGAATAAATATTCCGTCCTTTGTTCGCGTGCGCTCACGCGGTGGAGAATATTTATTCTAGTCGTGTCCGCTCCGAACGTGTGTATGCACAACAGTCATGGCGCTGTCCTCTCAGGAGACGCCATGAGTGGGTAGAGAGGAGCAACCGCACGTGAGTGCCCTGTTCGAGTGCGCGAGATCTCCTGAGATCTCCCAAAGATTTCCGCTTCGGAATTCTTTCTCGAACAGCCACCCACACCCTAAACGCGTGTTACCGAAGTGGCTCCCCCACCCCAAAACGAGGGTCTGGGCGCGGCGCCCACGACCCTCCCAAGACGCTGGCAGCATGCCTGCAACCCGAGCGCCACACTGGCGCTCCGCCACAAGGTCACACGCCCTCACGTCCCGGCCTAGACCTCTTCCTCTAGGTCTATGTCGGCGACATCCCCCTCCCCTCCCTCTTTCCGCCCGAAGAGGAAGGCGAACCTGTGGAGGCATGAAACCCCTCCAGTCCCGCTCTCCTAGGAAGTCGCACGACCCCGCAGTCCGTCCGACCAGCCTCGTTGCTACGCTCGCACGCAACGCCTCCGCGCCTCGCTAGGGCTCACCGTGCCGCTCTAGCGCGCCCCTCAGCCGCGCAGGCACCCTCTCGAGTGCCCTCTGCTCGAGTGCCCTCGGGGCGCTGCATCGCCCGCGACATGCCTCCTCGTGGCGCGCGACACAAACCAGAGACAGCTGCTCCAGCCGATCGAGCGCAACGCTCTACTCCGCCGCGCTGAGCGACCACTCAGCGCCCCACACATTAACTGGCCGACTTTGCGAGGCGCCCTGCGCCTCCTCCACACACCCCTCACGCCTTCGCGTGGCGTGCCTTTGGCGAGAAGGCCGCCCCCCGCAGCCGCCGGCTCCGCCGCCTCGCCGCCTCTTACACGAGCATGCCTCTTCTTGGCATACTCGGAGGTTCATGGTGACCGCCCGCGCGAGCGCGCCCCACGCCCGGCTAGGGCTCACCGTGCCGCTCTAGCGCGCCCCTCGGCCGCGCAGACACCCTCTCAAGTGCCCTCGGGGCGCTTCGTTGCTCGCGACCTGCCGCCGTGTGGCGCGCGACGCAAACCAGAGGCAGCTGCTCGAGTCGCTCTAGCACGACACTCTACTTCGCTGTGTCGAGCGACCTCTCGAGGCGCTCTGCATGCGCTCGCCGCCTTCGCGAGGCGTCCTGCGCCTCCCCCAGGCGCACCGCACGCCCCGCGTGGCGTGCCATTGGCGAGACGGCCGCCTGCAGCCGCGGCCCCCTCGCCGCCTCTTACACGAGCATGCCTCGTCTCGGCATGCTCAGAGTTCATAGCGGCCGCCCGCTCGAGCGCGCCCCGCGCCTTGCTAGGGCTCACCGTGCCGCGCTAGCGTGCCCCTCAGCCACGCAGACACCCTCTCCAGTGCCCTCGGGGCGCTTAATTGCTCGCGACTTGCCGCCGTGTGGCACGCGACGCAAACCAGAGGCAGCTGCTCGAGTCTATCGAGCGCAACGCTCTACTCCGCCGCGCTGAGCGGCCCCTCGGCGCGCCACACATGCGCTCGCCGCCTTCGCGAGGCGCTCCGCGTCTCCCCCATACGCACCGCACGCCCCGCGTGGCGTGCCATTGGCGAGAAGGCCGCCTGCAGCCGCAGCCGCCTCGCCGCCTCTTACACGAGCATGCCTCTTCTTGGCATACTCGGACATTCATGGTGACCGCCCGCTCGAGCGCGCCCCGCGCCTTGCTAGGGCTCACCGTGCCGCGCTAGCGTGCCCCTCAGCCACGCGGATACCCTTTCCAGTGCCCTCAGGGCGCTTTATTGCTTGCGACTTGCCGCCGTATGCGGCACGCGACGCAAACCAGAGGCAGCTGCTCGAGTCTATCGAGCGCGACCCCCTACTCCGCCGTGCTGAGCGGCACCCCGGCGCGCCATACATGCGCTGGCCGCCTTCGCCAGGCGCCCTGCCACTCAGACATTCAAGCGGCCGCCCGCTCGAGAGCGCGCCCCGCACCTTGCTAGGGCTCAACGGGCCGCTCTACTGTAGCGCGCCCCTCGTACGAGCCTCGAGCTACTCGCTCGACTTTCCCCTGAGCAGTGAGTTCTGAGTAACACGAGAGCCTCACCTTCACGCTCCCTGCTCCACACAGCAGGTCACGAGAGCTCTCGCCCTCCACGCTCACTGCTCTACAGCACGGGTCACGAGAGCTCACCTCTCTCCAGAGCTGGACGCGAGAGCTCGCCCCCTACACTCACTGCTCTCCTCAGCAGATCACGAGAGCTCGCCCTCCCAGCTCACTGCCCCACAGCAGATCAGAGCTCGCCTCCCTATACACTCACTGCTACACAGCAGATCAAGAGAGCTCGCGCCCTCGGCTCACGCTGCTTCACGGCAGATCACGAGAGCTCTCACCCTCTCAGCACTCTTTGCTTCACGTTCACGAGAGCTCGCCTTCAGCACTCTCACTGCCTCACAGCAGACCTCAGCACTCACTGCTCAACAGCAGATCAGAGCTCACCTCTCCCCGCTCACTGCTCCCCTGCAGATTACGAGAGCTCGCCCTCCACTGTGTCACTGCTTAGCAGCAGATTACGAAAGCTCGTCCTCTACACTCACTGCTCCACAGCAGATCACAAAGGCTCGCCCTCCACGCTCACTGCTTCACCGCAGATCACGAGAACTCGCCTTCAGGACTCACTGCTCCGTAGCAGACCACCGAGGCTCGCCCTCTATGCTCACTGCATCACAACAGATCACGAGAGCTCACCCTCTCACTGCTCCATAGCAGACCAGGGCTCGCCCTCCATGCTCACTGCTTAGCAGCAGATTACGAAAGCTCACCCTCTCACTGCTCCATAGCAGACCACCAAGGCTCGCCCTCCACGCTCACTGCTCCTTAGCAGATCACGAGAGCTCACCCTCTCACTGCTCCATAGCAGACCACCGAGGCTCGCATTCCACGTTCACTGCTCCTTAGCAGGTCACGAGAGCTCACCCTCTCACTGCTCCATAGCAGACCACCAAGGCTCGCCCTCTACGCTCACTGCTCCAAGCAGATCACGAGGGCTCGCCACATCTCGGCCACATCTCGGCCACATCTCGGCCACATCTCGGCCGCCCCTCGGCCGCCCCTCGGCAGCCCCTCGGCAGCCCCTCGGCCACTCTGCGGCAAAACCTCGGCCGCATCCTAGCCGCGTGTCTTAGACACCTTGGCCACAACCCGGCCCGATCCTGGCCGCGTGTCTCAGCCACACCTCGGCCACTCGGCCGCACCTCGGCCGCATCTCGGCCAAATCTCGGCCAAATCTCGGCCAAATCTCGGCCGCGCCCCAGCCACTGAGTGGCTGGAGGCAGGGCCGCTAGACTGTATCTCGGACGTATTCATTGATCAGGCGCCGCCCCCGCCGTTGCTGTCGCCGTCGACTCCCGGACGCTCGCTCGTCGACGACGCCTCTCCCGTCGACGTTCGCTCACCCTCCGCCGCGATGCCGCCTCGAGTGCGCGGCTGCATGGCTTGCAAGACCGCCAAAACCAAGTGCTGCCTCGACGGCGTCCCATGGGACCCGCAGAGCGGCCGCAAGTGTGATCGCTGCGCGCGGCTGGGCGTGCGCTGCACAGCCGGCCAAGACAAGCGCAAGGCCTTTAGCAGCAGCTCGTCCGACGCGCCGTGCAGAGCCAGGGGCCACTCCTCGATGGGCTCGCTCGTTCACAACTTGGGCACCGACAGCGACGCCTCCGAGGCGGGGGACGGGCCGGCTGCGGCTCACCACCACCAGACCGGGCCCAGCGCGGCGCAGCCCTCGCCGCCCTCGCCGCCCTCGCCGCCACCGAGCCCGCCGTCACTCGGTGTTGCTCCGCCGCAGCTTTCGAAGACGGCAACGACGGCAGCGAGTCTGTCAGAGTGGGACGCGAAGCAGAAGGCCGAGATGAATAAGCTGGGGCTGGAGCGCATTGAGGCGACAGCGGGCGAGCTCGAGCAGCTGCACGATCCCAAGCGCCGTTCGAGGGCGCTCAAGATGAAAAGAAGGCGGCTCCACACAAACTCGCAGCGCATCTCCACGCACAAGCAATCCGTGGCGGCGGCGGCGGAGGCGGCGGAGGCGGCGGAGGCGGCGGCGGCGGCGGCGGCGGCGGCGGCGGCGGCGGCCCTCTGCAACCTCACCTCGCCGCCCGGTCCGTCGCACGCGGGCTCGCCTTTGAGCAACATCGTCAACGCCTACCAGGGACGTCTGTCTGCGGAAGAGGAGGCCCCTTTCCGCAGGATGCTCGACACGCATCCCTCGCGGGGGCCGACCGAGCGCCCGCCCCATGATGTAAGCCTCACGTGTTCCAAGGGCGAGTGGGCGCTGCACGAGGCCAAACCCAGGGTTCCCTGCGTGCGCTACGGCAGGGCGTTGTCGGAAACTTCCCACCGGCGACGTAGCGCATGGCGCACTGAACGGCAGCGCGGCGCGAGGAGGCGCGCGAAAGAGCACGGTAAGGCCATAGACTAAGTTAGTAAGGGGTAGACTAGGGGGTAAACCGTTCTCCAAAGCGCAACAAGGTGGTGGTGGTAGAGCCGTAAAGTACTTTAACTGTGGTACAAGGGGGGCGAACCAACTAAAGCCGTACTAGCGGTGTTGCCCCTACTCATTTCGTCAACGTAGACATTATACTCCAATCGGTGCATGCTCTAGCTACACGTCGACAGGCAGATCACACCCGCACAAACGGCGTCGTATTTGTCGGCCCGCGGCCCGCCGCCCCGCGCGCCGGCGCGAGCCCCGACACCGCGCGCATGGTGGCGGACGCCACGGCGGCGGAGACGCGCGGGTCGGCCGGCGGCGCGCGCGGCTGCGGCGAGTTTGGCGCCTCCGCCTCGAGCGGCGCGCTGAGCGGCGCGCGGCGGCGCGGCGAGGGAGGGGTCTGCTGCGGCTTGTCGTCGCCGGCAAAGAGGTTCTCCTTCTCCGGAGGGGACATGCCGCGGCCTCCTCCTCCCGCCGCCGCCGCACCGCCGCCGCCGCCGCCGCCGCCGCCGCCCCCGGCCGGCGTGGCTGGCGGCGGTGGCGGCGTGCGCCACGACACGGGCGGGGAGGGCGCGGCGACGGCCCTCGCAGGCGTGGCGGAGGGGCGGTCCGTCGACCCGCCGACCGCCGCCGGCTCCGCGGTCGCGGCGGCGCCTTCGCGGCGCTGGGTGCGCGCGGGCGTCCGCGCGTGCGTCGCGGTGTCGAGCGGCGCCATCGGCACGTGCAGCCTGAGCGGCGGCACCCCCTCCCCCTCCCGCGCCCGTGCCGCAACCCTCGCCGCCTGGCCGGGGGCCGACGTCGGTGGAGTCGCGTGCGGCTGCGGGGGGGACGCCGACGCGCGGCGCTCCCGCTGCAGCTGCGCGTGCAGCCGCAGGCCGTACCGCACCTGCTCGTCCAGACACGGCCGAGACTCAGGTCGAGAGTCAGGCCGAGGTTCCGCCCGAGGTGTAGCGGAGGGGGCCGATGTACCGCCGACAGGTAGCCGAGATGCAGCCGGGACGCACAGCCGAGGCGGCACGCGCCTGCTCGTCCAGCGCCGCCGCGTCCTCCGCGCGCCGCTCCTCGCTCAGCCGCAGCGCGCGACGCAGCTCCGCCGCCTCCGCCTCCGCGACCGGCCGCTCTGGACGCTCCGGCGACGCCGACGCCGACACTGACGCCGCCCGCGCCGCCCGCAGCGCTGCCACCTCCGCCCGCGCGTCGGCCAGCCGCCGCTCGAACGCCTCCCTCTCCACCCGCGCGCCAGCCCGCCGCCGCTCGAACGCCTCCCTCTCCACCGCCGCCAGCCCGCCGCCGCGCACCGCCTCGCGAGGGTCCCGCGGGGCCGCCACCGCCGCCGCCGCCGCCGCCTCGCCCTCCGCCCTGACAGCGGCGAGCGCCGCCTCCGCCTCCGCCGCCTCGTCGCGCAAGCGCCGGCGTAGTGTGGCGGCGGCGGCCTCGAGGGTGGAGCAGTGCGCACGCAGCCGCTCCGCCTCCGCCGCCTGCGCCCTCTCCCTCTCCGTGGCTTGCGCTCTCGCCCGCTCGAGCTCCGCCACCTGCTCACAGTCAGCAGGTGTGAAGAGAGGGGCGGCTCTTCTCGCACCGCCCGCGCACGCCCTCTCGCCCACCCGCCGCTCTCGCTCCTTCGCCTGCCGCTCGTGCGACGCGAGGGCGAGCGCGGCCGCCTATTCGCACCACCAGCCGTGAAGCGACGCTCACAGGCGGGCGGCACCAGCCGAGGCGCGGCGGGCCGACTCCGCAGCAGCGGCGCGCTCGTCCGCCGCGGCGCGTGCCTCGTACTGCCGCCTCCGCTCCGCCTACCCGGGCCGCGAGGCGAACGGTGAGGACACCCCCGCCCCAACCGCAGTGTCTGTGTGCCCGGCGACGCTCGTCTCGCCTCCATAGATGCCGCGCGCGCCTCCGCCTCCTCTCGCCGCCGCTCCGCCGCTGCCGCCCGCGCCTCAGAGCCGCTGCGAGCCGCCGCCGCCGCCTCGGCGCGCGCCGCCGCCGCCACCGCAGCCTCGGCCGCCGCCGCCTCGGACCGCTGCGCCGCCGCCTCGCGCTGCTCCGCCACCTGCTCACACCCACACATCCCGTGTGTGAAGAGACGCCCTCAGCGGCTGCGCCGCCGCCCCTCCTCCCCCCCACACACCGTGTGGTGCGCGCGCAGCTCCTGCCGTAAGCCCGCCGCCTCGCCCTCCGCCGACGCCGCCCGCCGCCGCAGCCCTTCTTGCGCCTCCGCCGCCGCTGCCTGCCTCGCCGACGACCTCTGCCGCTCGACCACCAGCTCCTCCGCCGACGCCGCCACCGCAGCGGCCGACTCTGCAGCCGCGGCAGCCGCCTCCTCCCTCGCCGCCCACGCGCGCACCGCCTCCGCCTCCGCCACGCCAATCTCCGCCGCCGCCGTCGCCGCCGTCGCCGCCGCCGCCTCGGCCGCCGCCGTTGCAGCCGCCGTTGCAGCCGCCTCGGCGGACAACAGCGCCGCCTTGCCCTCCACCAACGCGCCGCTCGCACGCTGCAGCGCGACGCCTAGGGTCGCCGAAGCCGCGTGGTGAGAGAGAGGGGGGAAGAGGAGAGAGAGAGGAGAGAGAGGAGAGAGAGAAGAGAGAGAGGAGGGAAGGGAAGAGAGGCGAGAGAGGAGGGAGAGAGAGGGAGGGGTGTGTAGAGAGACACGAGAGAGAACAGCGACAGAGAGAGAGCGCCGCACCGAACGTCTCCCCCTCCCGCTCCGCCTGCCGCAACGACGCACTCAGCACGTCGCAGCGGCATCGCTCCGCCGCCGCCACCTCGGCCGCCGCCGCCGCCGCCGCCGCCTCCGCCGCCACCAGCTCCGCCGCACGCTCCTCCGCCACGGCCCTCGCCTCCACCGCCGCCGCCGCTGTGGCCGCCGCCGCCGTCGCCTCGGCGCGCGCCACCGCTCGGGCCGCCTCCGCCATCGCCGCCTCCTCCGCCCTCGCCGCCGCCCTCGCCGCCGCCTCTCGCCGCGCCTCGTCGCTCGCCTGTTCACAGCAGGGCGTGTGAATAGGCGCTGTTCACAGGAGGGCCTCAAGCCACGCGATCGCCGACTCGCCGCCGCCGCCGCCACCGCGGCCGCCACCTGCGACTGCGCCGCCGCAGCTCGCGCCGCCGCATCGCTCCTGGCCGCCTCCAGGCTGCCCTCAAGCGAAGACGCACGCGCGGCGGCCTCGCGGACCGTCGCCTCCGCCGCGCCCAGCGACGCGTCCCTCTCCTGCACCTCCGCCTCGGTCCGCCGCAACTCCGCCTCGGTCCGCCGCACTTCCGCCTCGGTCCGCCGCAGCTCCGCCTCGGTCCGCCGCAGCTCCGCCTCGGTCCGCCGCAGCGACTCGGCCGCGTCTTGCTGCGCCGCGCTCGACCGCCGCAACGCCGCCTCCGCCTCCTCGTTCGCACGCTCCGAAGCGGCAGCGCGCGCCGACAGGCCGGCGGCATGCTCCGCCGCCTCCTCCGCCGCGCGCGCCGCCTCCGCTCTCTCCTCCTCC